AGTGGCGGTGTTTATTCTGAAATTCTCAGGCAGATAGACCGTCCTAGGCAAATCTTGATAAGAGAGCCCTTATCCAGGTTTTTATCTAAGGAATCCCAAGAAGACTGAAAAATGGAGAGACAGCAAAGGTTTATGTCAGGGAAGGATGAGTATCAGTTTCAGCATCAGGGAGCAGTGGAGCTGCTTGTCTTTAATTTTTTGCTCATCCTTACCATTTTGACAATCTGGTTATTTAAAAATCATCGATTCCGCTTCTTGCATGAAACCGGAGGAGCGATGGTGTACGGTGAGTGCATACATTGGGGGATTGATGTGAAACTTGTTGCTTGGGTGTCATTAGAGACTGGTGCTCAGATGGCAAAGTAGGGAAACTGGAGAAAATGTGCTGATTGAAATGTCATTAGCTTGATGGAAGGTGCTGCAGCATAATGCATACTAACCTTTTTCCAGAGGAGATGCCGAAATTTGCCTTGTCACAAGAGCAAATGTCATAGTCGTGTTCTCATGCGGTGCAGAATGCAAGTCTGTTGACAGATGTGGGTCCATTGTCATGTGGGGAGTCAAACCAGGCGAGCTGTTTGTTTTTATAATGATATTGGGAAGCGATGGCTTTGCAGTCACAGGGAGCAGCCTTCTTTCACTAGCGGCACTGATAAGCATTACAAAGTTCTAGAAATAACATCATTTAAAAATGTATGGAGTAAATCCTCTGACAGCAACTAATTTGAAGAAGAAAACTTGCAGAAATGGACCCCACCCTCCTGTGGAAATAATTATGTCCAAATTCTTTTTGATTATATGAACAATGCTTTTTTTTTCTTATAATAAAAAGAGTTATAAATGAACATGAGTTTCTTTATGTAGTACTTTTTGTTTCTTAGCTTAATATCAGATGTTCTAAGTTATAATTATTATCATTCTTAGTATTATTTGCCATGTCTGTCATTTTGGGGAGAGGCCAAGGTGTGGAAAAGTATTTGTTTCACGTCTTAAACTCCCAAAGTATTGCCCTTTCTGTGCAATCTACCATGTCATTCCTTTCAGAAAGTTTAATGAACTATGACAGAGATAATCCAGTTTGTACTTCCATCTTTTAAAGTAAAACAGAGGACACCAGTAACCTTTAAAGTGATGTTAATGATGAAAGAGTTCATGTCACCACTCTTAGCCTAATAAGGGTTAGGAGCTCTGAATGTGATGGAAACAGGCATTACTGTAATTCATAGCAAAGAACATACCTGTATATCTGGACTTCCCTCATTTTAGAAGTCCGCAAGCCCTTTTACTTGCCTGAGGTTCAGAGAACAAGATCAATAATGCACATTACATATGCTAACCTTGTGACATCCTGATGTTAACAATGTAAAGCCATGATTTGAGAACATAAGAAACCGTACCCCTTGACTGGACCCCCTTGTGAGATAAGTACTTGAGCTGTAAGGCAGAAGTTTCAGACTAAGCAGTATAATTTCTTTTCAGGAGGCTGATGTGCTGATCCATTCAGAGCACAGAGATAAATTCCTTTGTATTGAGAGTCTTCAAGCACACAACAAAACTCTCATTCGAGGGTGGAAAAAATCATAATCAGGTGAAGGAGAAATAGCCAAACTGCAAGGAAGGGAGGCTGTCAGGTGTGATGAGCTAGCCTCCAGCCTAAACCCCTCCCTCCTCACATCAGTGGACCAAGATCTTTCTCTCGACTCAGCTAACAAATAACCAGCAAGGATGTAAGGATGTAATCTGAGAAGCCAGAAACAGTATAATTCTTGGCATCATGTTAGAGGGCTTTGTATGATTTATCAAAACAACACAAATTTAAAAGATGACTAACCTTCATTAGAGGGAAAGATTTCTTCACAGCCCTGAACTGGATTAAACTATGACTTATTAACCAATTTTAGCTTATCTATGATGGGGATATTATTTTGTAAAACTTTTCATTACATTTTAGTGACCTGTTAAAATTCTGACATACTCTGTATTTACAAGACATAAAGTAACTTTTAATTTTGAACCCCCAAAATTTCAGATTACCTTTAGTCCTCAAAAACTCCATGAAATATTTAAAAATTGTGGTTGAAATTATAAAGTATTAGTGCATTGTCCACTGTTGTTGAGATAGCATTTCTCTAAGTTGTTATTCTTAAGACAGTTTAGGTTTAAAATTTATGAGTGGAATTAAGTTGGGCTGTCTGATTTTTGTCCTTCTTTCATGATTTTTTTAAGTGTGAAAGTTATTGAAAGCAAGTTCTGAACCAGTGCAATGTAAAATAATTATAAAAATTATGAAGACATGCATACATATGTATAACTATTGTATTACTAGATTTTTGAGTATCTTTGAGTTATCTTGAACCACATAAATCAATGAAAAGACTTATATTTGGTGTTGTTTAACTTTTTACTGGCATAGAATCATAAATTGTTGGAATTTAAGGGAATCTTATAGGTTATCTTCTCCAGCCCCTTCATTTTATGGGGGAAGAAACTGAGTCCAGGAGAAGCAGGGTGACTCTCCAGAACTCAATAGCCCCTCATGGCAGGGTCCATGTACTTTCACTCACCTGCATGTCTTAATAAGTCTTGTGTTCATCTTAAAAGAGCTCTCACTGAAAGTCTCTGAAGATAGTCCATATGATGGCATTAGTGATTTCTTGTATTTCTTCTTCAGGGATAATCTAAATGTTATATCTGAAATGTTTATTACAGACTTTCTGTTAGTGATGTAATCAAATAGTCTGAAACTACAGCAGAGGAATAAGGTGGGACACTCTAATAAACACTTTTAATAAGGGGGAAAAATGTCAAGTGAATTAATTGCCTAGCAGCTGTAAGTGAACTTGGAATTCACAGATAAGGAAGGAGCCTTAGAGAACCGAAGTCCCACATCCTCATTTCGCAGACAAAGAAATGAAGATCTAGAGAGGTGAAGGTCACGTAATTTGTTAGCTGCTGAGCTGGGATTCAGTCTCCATCTCTTTACTAAGAGATGCTGAGACATTTAAAAAATAAGGAAATTCTTTCAGTGGTCTTCCTGGAGAGAGGACATGTCTATGAGATCCAGATGCATCCTCATATTGTTTATGCTTTCAGGGTTAGTCAGATAGATTCTCTTTATCAGGAAGTCAAAAGGAGTGAGATTTCAGAATAGAACCATACAAATCCCTTTATCCATTGGAGGGTGGAACTCAGGGTTTTTGCTGGCACTCTGCTGAGAGCATGATGATAACTGATAGGGAAGAAAACAAAACTATGTTTAAAACAAACTTTAAAAAAAACTTAAACTTTTAAAATTTCTTTTTTTAAGGAGATGAACATTTGAGAGTAGACTGTAACTCAGTCATCTCCATCCTACAGACACATACACTTGTAATGAAACATCTTTAAGATTCAGTGGTCCTGCACCTGCTGCTTATCAATGCATGTGGCTCACAGTCCCCCACCACGCTGAGTACCACGCTTTCTCTCAACTACTTGTAGAATGTGTTATTTGCCTGTGTATCAAGAACCATAAATATTTTTCTCAAGCACCAAATTTCCTGTAATCCCTCAACCATCTCCTTTTATACTGGTGTTCTGCTGACATGTGTCAAAAATCTTTTAGAAGACAATAGATGTTGACACATTTTATCAGTATACCTGGGAATCCAATTTTAAAAATTCTAGAGATCAGGGACTTAGAAAATGAGCAGTTAGAATAAAATGAAGAGAGAAGTGATCAAGCAGAATGTTAAACCACTCTTTTATAGTTACTGTTAGAAATGATTGCCAAGTTATTTACCTTAAAATATCATATGTAGGGTTGTAGAGTCCAAGAAAAATGATGTGTGGTATTTGGCTTGACCGTATGTTGACTGGAGATAAACCTAATACCTCAAATACAAATAACACGTTACATAAAAAATAGCTTTTCTCATATTATTAAGGATCATAGAATGCTTTTAAAAATTATTGGCGGCATTATAAAAATATTTTTATTTCATCAGGAATAATAATGGGTAATTGTCTCTCAAAACTTTCTACATCTCTCATTATTTCAAAGTTGAAGCATTAGAATCCATAACTGGTTTAAAATATAAGCCATGGTGATAGTCATTTAAATTGGACTAAAAGCTTAGATGACTGTTAGTGGTCAAAATATTGATTAGCAGCAGCTGGTGCACTTAGAGCCTTTCACTTAGAGCCTTGTATCCCCTACTCAATGTTCATAAAAGAAAAATTGTTCCTTGCTCCCTGATAGCGTTAAGAATTCCATTGTATATCAGGGGACTGCCACACTTTATAGGACGTTTATAGTGCCATGCATTTGAGGGTCAGGATCTGACCTTAGGAACAGAGCAATTAAACATCTTAAAATTCTACTTATGATTTCATTGCCTTCCCATGAAGTTAATGTAGAAATTTTGCTCACCATCTTATAGGCACAAAGGAACTTTCAAGCCACAAAGTCTAGATTTTGAAACCATCAAACCATACCATATTAAAGTGTTTTCTGATCCTTTAATAGTATACTCAGCAGTTTAGTAGGGCCAATTTAATTTACTAAACAGCAAGTTTTTCATGATTTAAAGAATATATAATTACACAGTGAATCACTAAGATTTTAAAAGCCATTTCTCCTAAAAAATCTGAAGGCATTAATTTCATACTAGCACTCAAAACTGGGTTGTTGGACATGGTGTGGTTCCACCCCACTAATCCAGTTTTACCCTCCTCCAGTCCAGTCCTGCCTCCCTAACTTCCAGGCCTATAGGAGACGCTTATACCACTGTAGTCCCCTCCCTGCCCAGAAGGTCCTTCCGAGGCTCTTTACTTGTTCAAACATGGCATGCTATATGGAAAAAGCACTGGGTGCTCTCTTTGGGATCTGAGTTTTTTAATCCTGATAATTTTTTTCTCAGTAGCTAGATGGATTACTTTAGGCAATTGATTTAACCTCTGGCCTTAATTTTCTCATTTGTAAAATGGGGATGAAATGAACAGATATTGCTAAGCTCCCTTCCAGCTGCAAAAATCCTTCACAATTCAGGCCAAGACTAAGTTTAATCATTTGGTATCTCTTAGGCACTCCAGCCCAAACTGGTAGCTTTCTTCCAAGAACCCTGTAGCCTATAATGATATCCATTCCTTTCTCCTAGACAGGATTTTAGTTAGTGTTACTTCACCACTCTTAGTTCTTGGGGCCCTGGTCTGATTTTGTAACAAGTGCTCAGAAAATCCTGTTGCATTCCCATCAAAAAGGTGAGAACAAGTTATTATCATCAGAACAGTGAGGGCTGGCTGCGT